TGTGTGTGTGTGAGAGAGAGAGAGAGAGAGAGAGAGAGAGAGAGAGAGAGAGAGAGAGAGAGGAGTTGCCCTTCTTGATGCACGTACGTACCTGCAACCATGTGCCGGCAGCCAATAAGGATGACAACATTCCGCAGAAGTGCAGCGCGGGTATTTTCTCAAGTTCCCCTGGGAAGAGAATTCCGTTATGCATAGTTTCGCAGACGTGAGAGCCGACCAAGAAGGCCCCCGAGAACTCCAGGATGGCAGCCACCAGCACGGCCTGCCGTAGGCTCAATGCCCCCGACCCCACCGATGTGCCCATAGCATTGGCCACGTCGTTTGCCCCTATGTTCCACGCCATGTAAAACCCACAAAGGAGGGTCACGTACCTAAGCACCTTGGTCCTGATGGTCTCCGTGGCCACCGTGCCCCCTATCATACCCGTCAACGGGATGGCCAAGGCCGCCATAGCTATGCCGGCTGTGATGAGGGTCGCTGTGCGAGGCGAAATCTCGAACGCTTCTGCCATGCTCCGCTCCGACAGAGAGCCTTGCGTCTCCTCTGCAGGAGTGCCGGGATCCCGACCTTCATCCCTCGTCGGTTCGAGTACCGCCGCGTGTACGCTCGTTTCCGGTTGATGATGACCCAGCAGCTGCTCCTCTGGTGTTGGCAAATGGCCGTCGGTCCCCGCCCCGTTCCCCCTCCCTCCCTCTGCCTCGCTACCGGTCGCGGGGGGGGGAACAATCGCCTCCTCCATTTGGGCTTCCACGCGGTCGCCGCCCGCAGTTGCCTCCCCTCCTCTCATTGCTTGACCGATCAGTCGGCTCGCATCCAGGTTTTGCCCCCCGACCGGTCGCAAACCCAACGGCCAGGCTGGTCGCCCCAGTGATTCTATCTTCTTCTTCCCCCAGCGGGCCCCCGCCATCAGCCCGGGCGACTTCATCGCCGACCGGTTGTAGTACGCAGGCGAAGCGGCGGCATAGGCAGTCCCGATCGCCATCGCCCCCACCTCCTCTTCATCCTCCTCCTGCTGATGTTCCTCCTCCTGCTTGTGCTGCTGCGCGCCAACGACAACCTCCAACAAGCCGGCCTTCCGTCTACCTTTACTCCCATCAGAACTAGAATACCCCCCAGAGAACCACCTCCTTCTCCCAACCGTTTGATCACCCTGTTCAGGACGCTGTTCCCCGTGGGGGGAAGTGTATAGAGGACCGTGCTTTTCTTCGCCGGCGACCGGTCCTTGCCACTTATAATGATTGTGAATGTGGCTGGTCCTTCCTCTTGCGGTCCCTCTCCTCTTCAGATGAAGATGGGAGATACGTTTGCTGAGGTCGGACGGGTCCACGTGTCCGCCTGTGAGAATCCGACGTGTCCTGGCATGTCCGAGACCCTCTCCCTCCCCCCCTGTAGCACGTACCACACGCTCCACGTCACTTGATGGCCCCCAAAGTCCTTTCGCACAATGATGAGATAAGAACCGACTTCCCGACTGGGGGAGTTGAGACGACGACGAACTGCAACGACCGGTCGTTGAACAGCAACGCCTTGGGTAGTAATGATGATGATGATGATGATGATTGCACTTTGCCGGCAGAGTACCGGCCATGCCGACGACGGCTATGGCCATCGTCGTCCCCGACAATGAGTGCGCAAGGGTGTGATTGATTGTATTCTGAAACTTCTCAGCGGATTCTCAGACGTTCAACTGCCTGCCACCCAATCAATCAATCAATTAATCAAGGAGTCAATCAATCAATCAATCAAGGAGTCAATCAATGAATCAATCGATCAAGGAGTCAGTCAATCAATTACTCAATCAAGCTACGGATCGATCGAATGGTCAAGAATGCAGAAGATTCATTGATGAATAGACAGCGAGATTCAGTGCCACATTCGATGGAACGACTCAAAAAATAAAAAAATAAAAAAAATGACAACATGTATGTATCTGGTTGGGGTAGGAGTCCACACCAACGAACAGGAAAACATGATCAACGGCCAGATACGTTTTTAGAGCAAGCACTACAGTCCGCAATCCGCTCACTGCACGTATCGCTTCGGCTACCAGATTGGCCAATGAGCGACTCTACGTCAACTCTGAATGCCTGGTGTACACGTGGCTCAGCCGCGAATCATTCACGTCAGGACCTATATCTCAATCAAATGGTCTCACTACAAATAGAAACAGCATCTATAGATCGTTCGCGTGTGTGTGTGTGTGTGTGTGTGTGTGTGTGTGTGTGTGTGTGTGTGTGTGCTGGTCATGTTCGCTATACGCGTGTGTGTGCGTGTGTGCGCGTGTGTGACAGAGGTCCCTATCTATTGTCCAGGTCTCCTCTTGAGAGTATTACACGTAAAAAAAAAAAAAAGAGAGAGAGAAAAAAAAAAGAAAGAAAGAAAGAAAAAAAAAAAAGAGTATTACTCGAGTGTAGGGAATGTCGAGCTGAGCTGAGAGACATGCAGGGGGGAAATAAAGTGAGGCAACGTTCAGCGCATATACCTGTTTAAGTAAATCTTAAAACATGTGATAATATGATATATAAAAGAAAAAGAAAGAACGTGGCTTACACACAAAATTTAATACGTGCCAGCATATATACACATAGATATACATATATATATCGTCAAATAGAACTGCCCGGTAAACCGTAGGCAGAGAGGGAGAAGAGGACAACAAACGAGGGGCTGTGACAAACTGTTTCGTCGGAGTTTCA